GGACAATTTATAATTTCACATAAATTCAATTAATGAAGTTACAAAGTCCAACTAATAATGGATGATGCAACAATATATGCTTTTATATTGTTTTAATGTTGGTGTTAAAAAAAGTTGTCTTAATATTGAAAAACCCTTTAATACGGTTTAGAATTGGGTTTGTGAGCGTACGATGTAACTTGGTTATCAAATGAAGGGTGTGGGTTAATGTGTGAAGTGTTGCTTCAAATGGCCAAATCACATATTTTAAAAAATTATGGCCAGGTCGATTGTCAACTGGCCAAATCGATTTTGAAATGGCCAAACCTCATTTACTCAGCAACCTTTGGTTTTAACATTGAAAAAAAAAAGAAAAAATTATATAAGAGGGCAACTTTTAAATGTTAACATTGAAAAAAAAAAGAAAAAATTATATAAGAGGGCAACTTTTAAATGTAGAATCAAGATGCCCATTTTTTTTAAAAAAACACCTTTTAGTTTCTACCTCTTTTTTCATAGAGGCTAATAAATAGATTTAAGGAGTATGAAGTTGTAGCAAATGATAGATAGCTTGTAACAAATAAAAAAATAAATTAGAAGAAAACGTCACAACTAAACAAGAAGTTGAGAAGTAACCTACACCATAAATAAACTTAAAAACAAATAATTTTTTTCTTCTCATATTCAACACAAAAAAAAAAAAATTTATAAAAAAATATATATAATATAAAAAACAATTCAACAAGCTCACAAAAAATATATAACATTAAAAGGAAAGAAATATTTGTTTTTCTCACATTCATCACAAAAAACACATGTTTTTGTAAAAAAAAAACATAACATAAAAAATAATCCAACCGGCTCACAAAAAATATATAAAATTAAAAATAAATAGTAATATATTCTCTTTTTTATCATACTCATCACAAATAACATATTTTAAAAAACAAAATGTAATTTATTAAAAAAAACAATTTTTTTTTTAAGAACCCTAAAATCAAGCCAAAGAATACATAAATTTTAGAGTCAAAATCAACCCCATATCTTTCATTTTTTGAGACAAATTGACATGGAGATATGATAGATACTTCAATTAAGATTCAAATGCTCCAAATTTCATGAAGATTAATTGATTAGTGAGATCTTTATTAAAAAAATTATGGATTTTTCACTTCACGAAAATTTCAGGAAAAAAGCACAACAAAAAAATATCGATCTAAAAACATTTAATCAATAGTAAATCAAAGTAACTATTTTATTTGATAGATGATGCCTTTATGATCAAACGCCAGTGATCAATTCGATAAAATCGTTCAATTTATTGATAAAAAATCAATTCAATAAAATCGTTCAATTTATTGATCAAAATCAATTTATTTGGATAAAAAGCAGTTCTTCGAGCAGCAGTACTTGGGGCCCAAAAAAATCTCAAATCTTCATTTTTTTTGGAAAAATTTAAATATGTAAACATTGAATCATTCAACAATTAATCAAAGCTCTCTATTTTTATAAAATTTTATGAGGTATTGAAGCAGCATTTGATAGAATGGCTAAAATTTCTAATTTTCAAAAGTCCCCATTTCAATCCGCCAAGAACTATTTGTTTTTCGATTTTTTATTCAATAATCTATGACATATAGAAACTTTCAGGTGTATAACATCAATATTTGACTGAAAAACAAAAAAAAACTGGAAAATGGAATAAAAATTAAGCTGCAAAATATTGTTCTGTGAAAAATAACGGACATGTGTCAAATAACAACCGTTATTTTATGTGTTAAAACAATGTTATATCAATGTTAAAATGGTAAACCGGACCAGTTAGAAAAACTGGTCGGTTTGATCTAAATACCGCGGGTTCGACCTCGAAACGGTTGGTTTTGGTCCCGATTTTTTTTTACAGATCCATCCTATGTGGTGTGGCATAAAACTGGCCCTAACGGGACTTGCCACCCCACCAATAGCGATTTGACCGGCCCGATTTTAACCGGCCGGTTTTACGAACACAGGGTTGGCGATCTCTCCTAACCTTTCTTTCCTCTAGGAGCGTATCCTAGAAATAAGCTCAAAATTCGAAGTGTCACATGCAGAAAAATAAGGTTGAAGCATAGGTAAGTTACATAATTCCAGAGGATGGATTTAGCTGTCCTACAAATTTTGCAAGGTTACATAAACACTAAAGGCCCCTTTAGAAAAGGAAACTAATTCTCGAGCCAATTTCGGTTTGATGGATACAAAATTGTGTGTGTGGGTGTGTGTTCTACAACTTTAAACCATCCAAATTAAGACGTACCTCTAAATTTCATCAGGAGATAACATGCATTCTTGGCCTAAGAATTGCAAAATTTTGTGTGTATGGGTGTGTGTGGGGTTTCTACAACTTTAAACAATCCAATTAAGACGTACATAAATTTTATCA